CAATTTGTTACAATATATTATGACTTTGTAATTTTTTTATCAAATATATATATCCACCACCAGCCCTTTTACGTCCCCACTGCAGGGGCTCAGGCCTTCCTTATGGATGGTTAAGGAGGATGGGCCATGACCCTCCACGCTGGCCCAATGCGGATTGGAGGGTATTGACGACTGCAAATGCAGCCGGGACCAACGGCTTAACGTGCCTTCCGAAGCACGGAGTAGCTCGAGATAGTAATTTTTTTGGTCACCCATCCCGTGACCGACCCTAGCGAAAGTTGCTTAACGACTACGATCGCGGGCCGCGGCGCTTATCCACTACGCCACCGAGCTAAATATATATATAGTATTAATTAATCATTTTATTATTTTTACGTCAGAAACTTTCTGTTAGGAATATATAGGAAACATATTTTACCTTACAGGGGTGAACCCGACGTGATATTATTTACCCTTACAGAAATCTTAACTAATAGTTGTTAGTCTTAGAAAAAAATGTCAGAAATCCATTGGTAAAGTAAATGGATCGCAATCAGGGACCGCTGGCGACGGGCGGGCGAATGCTAATAAGACGGTATTAAGAACCGGCAAACGCGAATTATTGTGTACATTTTTATACTGATGGCTGTTCTTGAGCGGCGTTCACTATGTCAAGTGCCAATTTTTAGGTAACGTAAAAAAATTACCTTAAATAACAATAAGAAATAAAAAAATAATTATTTGCCACTAAAGAGGCGGTTAACATATTTAAGGAACTTTTGAATATAGTCTAGAATTAGTTTTTATACTAACATAATAAAAAGGAAAGATTTCAATATTTCTAATCTACTGGGACAAATGATTTAAAAAATTCTTTCAATTACAGGAACAGATATAGGCTATAATTTATGCGGGCGAAGTCGCGGGAAAACAGCTAGTTTGAAATTTATTTGAAGAGATAGTACACAGCTCACTACAAAGTAATATTACAATTTGTAATTACAATCTTAAAGCCATATTACGACGACAGATTACAAATTTGTTATCAAGCAAACAAACGAATTTTTCATTTAAATTGCCTGGAAGTTATTGAATTTTTAGCGATAAAGCCGCCGATTGTACTGTTTATTGTTATTAATTGCTATTTTTCTTTTCAAGTACAATAAAGTGTTAATTCATTCATTCATTAAATTAAAACTTAAAAAAAATACTTCATAATTTTTTTCATAAAACAATATTTACCAGAAAACCATTTGCAATGGTTTTCTGGTAAATATTGTCCCATCTGGGGCATCTAAGACAGTGTAATTTTTGAGATTAAAAAAAAAACAAAATATAACTCCACCTAACCCTCATTGTCGCTAGCTTATTATGATGCTGTAATCTGCATGTCTTCCTGAATGCTCTGTTGCCACAAAAAACAATGGTTCCAAGAAAACAACTGACCTGCGAATGTTCATGACTGGTTGGTGACCCTTAAATTGGCAAAAGTATTCGACTTGCTTAGTAGGTACATGTAATCACGTGTCTACTTCTAATAATTCATTAAAAAAAAATAATTCAACAATTAATTATTATAATCATACTACTAATTCATTCGCAGTTCCCATTCTACATTTGAAGGTTAGATAATACTAAGTCAGTGATTCTCAACCTTTTTTTTTTTTGTTGCGGCACATATTTAACGATTTCAAAATTTGGCGGCACAAAGAAAAAGATAAAAATTATTTACTTACTACAACACACTGCTTAAATAGTTCATGACAAAAAAATTTAATATACGAAATAAACTAATATGTACTACAATAATAACTAAACGTTTATTAAGGGATTAATTACAAGCTAATAATAAAAATATTATTAATGCGAAATTTGAGCTTATTTTTTTTATAATTTCATTTACATTTGGTCGTAAAAATGACAATGCTACTCTCATATCGTCTTGTACATTTAACAATCTTGATCTTATTTTAGTTTTAATGTTGGCTAATGCTGAAAATCCGAATTCACGCAAATAAGATGTGGAAAATTGTAATAATATGTTTAAAGCTTTTTTTGTTTACAAATTTATAAATTGACACTACATGCAAATAAATTAATATTAAACCGAATCACATACATTTGTCAATTGTAACGAAAGAAAAGGTGCAGAAACTACTATGCAACACCTTGTGAATCCCAACTATCACTAAAACAACACGTTTTGTACGCAGAAGTGGCAAGTGTGCGCCGACTTGAGACATATTCCTATTGCTATGCACGCCGCTTCATCATAAAAAACGCGCTGCAAAGCAAATAATAAAATAATTTATTTTTTTGTGGATTTAAATATATATTCATGTTAAAAATATTTTTCTTTTTAAATTATATAATTTAATAATATTAACATTATTATATATTTGCAAAATTTGGCGGCACACTTTTGGCACAGTGGTTGAGAATCACTGTACTAAGTATTTGATGTATTAGAAGTGAACTGAACTATGCATATTTGGTTTATTTAATTTGACAGCACAGTGTCGGCTTCGGTTCGAGTTCGATTCCCTGTTGGGTCAAGGTAGAAAATGGACTTCGCTATGTTGTCTCAGGTCTCGATATTGTGGTACTCAATATTAACAGGGCATATCTTGGAATATGAGCGATGTGTGTATTTTTGTCTAATGTTTATTTATTTCTGAGTAGGGTTAAATACGGTAATGATTCTGCTGATTTTTTTTAGTTTCTTGTACGATAAATAATGTCATTTTTATTGACTTAACATTAAGTGGTCATTTCTGTTATTTACGTTAAATATATATACTGTGTAAGTATTTTATTTCGATGAGTTTATTTGCAATTCATAATTTAGTATTAGAATATAGTTACACGAAATTTTATTTCAAAAATGAAGTCTCAAAATTATTTAAAAAAATCTGCCTTTTCAAAAAATCTTACTTTGTTTGTAAGATTTTCTTACAAATCACACAATTATCTTAATTTCAACATTAAAATACCTCAAAATGTCACAAGAAATATATATAGGAGTGTTAAAATATTGAATAATGGCCCTGTAATATATCTGTATATAAAACGTCATTATGTGCCAGTATCAATAGTAACTCTTACATGACTTTGAGAGCTTTCAATAGTTCAAGTATACACTTTGATATGTAAAGTGAATACAAAAGAAGGCTCCCGTTTCCACCTTCTAATCAGCGTGAGCATCATCAGTAGAGGTACTGGAAATATAAACTCCTTTTTTTATTTTAGAGAACATAGAACAAAGTGGTAATCAAGAATGAATCGTTAGAACAATTGGCATTAAATAAAAATGATGGAAGTATCACGCTGTAAAGTAGGATTTTTTAATTATTAAACAAATATTTTTTTCATTCCAATAAGAAGTTTCTACGAATTTTCACTACAATATTAAAAGAAAAAGTAAATTTGTCTATCTGTCTGTTACGATTAGATAAAATTTGCTATTTAGATAGTGTGAGACATAAAAAGTTTATGATTGTGACATTATTCTATAAGGGATGATAAAAGGTGTTGCTAAAAATATACAAAAATGCAATAAAATACGAAAATAAAGCTCAAGAATTATTTTAACACATCAATGTTGTTAGGTTTTTCAGCACAGACATTACAGAAATGTTACCTGAATAATTGTGTATTAACTTATCGTTTTACCTTCAGTGCCCTTTCAAAATCTATGAAACCACAATGTTATCACATTTTGTTCAAAATTTTTTACCGGCTTTGCTTCTATTCAGTTATCTATACTTAATATTATAAAGAGAAAATATTTATTTGCTTGCATTGATTAGATTCCGAATCTACTGGACTGATTTTCAAAATTCTTTCATCTACTGGAAGCTGACATTAGTGGCGCCGCGTCGCTGGACTCGATGCTGCGCGTGCTACTGTACGTGCCTTCTCCGAGGATCTAGTATGTTTGTCGATAAACTGACAAGTTAATGTAATATACAGCCAGTTGCACAAACGTCCATTAAAATTGACATTAGGTTTAAGCGACATTACCCATACAAATTTGATATTCATTACAGCTTAAAGGCGTCATTAAACCTTAATGGACGATTGTGAAACTAGCTGATAATCCATTTATATCTCAATATGACATAATAATTTCAAATAAAATTATTGTTTTGACATGAAATTTCTATTTCTAATTGTTAATGACATAATATAAATTTAATTATTGTTAATATCAATTTTAATTTTGAATAATATGTATGTAATTTTTGTTTTATCTATTTACTTATATTATTATTGACTTTGTATAAAAATGTACTTGCCCGCCTGGCTGGCGCTTTGGTAAGTAATGTAAGCCAGCAAATGTGTTTGAATTAATAAATGAATAGGCTATATATTAGTCGAAAAAAAACTTATATTTTATTATGCAATAAAATACTAACTACGCAAGAAATAGTTTAATATACAAATAAGATTCGATTTATACACTTCCCAAAGCTTTTATTAACAAAAGTAATAATAAACTGTGAAATATAACTCTAAATAGATCATACAATTTGTCCATCACCAAAACATTTGATATCCGCTACCACAGATGAGTAACGTTGATCGGCAGCAAATTTAACGGATCGTTAACTAGGCGTACATAATAAAAATTTCGACACGACGGGCGTGTCATCTAATAATAGCGATGTGTTGTAGTTACCGGCATTGTTTACATGTTGCGACATGTACCTGTACACCTGCCAGGTTTTTCGTGTTTTATCTCTCATTGGAAACGAGGATTTAAAAAAAGAACACAATTTAAAAAATAAATGTTTTCGTGTTTTATGTCTGAATGAAACAATGATTTAAAAGAATCAATGATAATTAAAACGATATCTAGTTAAAAGAAACAAATAATAAAAATGTAAAATGGAAAACTGTCAAAGACACCGTCACGAATTGTTAAGACTACTTTATATAAACCAATTATAATATTTTTCAGAGTAGTGTATTTACACGATATCAACATGAAAATGCTTGGTTTGATAAAAAAGACTTACCTGAAAAAACAGGCAGAAGCACACCCATTGGTAGTACTTGTAGATCTTCCTGTCGCTCATATCTTCCTTCCCTTTCTCGCGGCTGTTCCCGATGCCCGGGTACGGGACCTCGACACCCACCTTCTTGTTGAAGAAACTCTTGAGCGTGTACGTGGAGTGGATCCAACAGTAAGTGTTGAGAACGTCTTCAGGAATGTCCTTAGTATGGATGCAGTCTATCGGGTTACCCACGTATTGTCTAGTCGTAACGATGAGACTGAAGGATATCAGTAATATCACCGTTATAGAGTAATGCAGGCGGAATACAGGCGAATCGATGTGTACATAGTTCACTTTAATAAGATTCTTTAAACCGCGAAAAACGTCTAACATTGTAAACGCTTAAGTCTTAAGTGTGATCTGTTCTTTTTCGTCCACTAACATTATTTCGTCTACTATATTATTGTAACCGAGCACCACTTTAATTTTTTATTATTTTCACTACGTGTTTTTTGTCGTTGGATTATCGTAAGGCACTTCAGTGGCAGTGTTTGTTCCCTATACCATTACACACTACGTCTGCGTTGCAGCTTCTTGGGTATTTTTATGAATTTCAGCAGCGAGACTGTCTGTGTCATTTTTCCTGCGTTTCATCGTTCCTGTTCATCGGGTCGCGATCTCGCCGTCTGTGTCATGTGGTCTAGTGGTCGGGGCCTGTGTAACGACGGTTAGATTAGCCGGTTTACGAGCCGTGTTACCGACCGGAGCACCATGAACGGATTAACGATTCGAGATAACCGAGCTGTGGGAATGTGCCGACGCGACGTCATCTTTTCGGCTGTGTTCCGTAATCGGTGTGATTAGATGATAAAAAATATGATGACACTAATTTATATGAAGAAGTTAAATCATAGGCATGATGCATGCTTATTTTTACTAGTTAAATCATTAGATTTTTAGTATCAATATTGACGTCACTTTAATTACCTAGATCGTGTGAAACTTTCCACTGAATGGGGTTAAACCGAGAAGCCTAATATTTTTAATATAAATATTCCACTACAACAGTAATTAATATTTATTAATTACTTTTATTGAAATTTGACCATAAAGCATGAAAGTTTTATTCTACTCGTGTGATTATTAGACATTCGACGTTGTCAAAAGTAATGATAGTATCGTGTTATGTTTTTAAAGATTAATATATGTATAAAAATAATAGCATTGTATACTTCTTCTCCATATAAACTTTAACTGTTATAGTTCACTATGTATTGATATAAAAGGCTCATTTGTTTGAAATCATTACTTAAAGACCTATTGAGATTCTCACCTAAAGTACATAGTTGGACTATGCTTGGTAGATTCCAAAAATAAGAATGCAATTATTTAATATCGTTAATAAAAGTTACATTTGCATAAAATTTGGAGATTATTATGTTTTCTCTAACTAGAGCACATAGACAGCTCTATGCTCTCTAGTTAGAGAAAACATTACAATTATATTTTTATAATTTTAGTGACTTACTCAGTGAGCTTACTCACAAATCAGTAAATTATGTCTAGGCCTAAACACAAAATCTCGAAAAAATCGTACGTCAAAACAATGAGTTATTGCGGCAACAGGTGATCCGAATCGGCCGCATAGTCACACAAGTCTTCAAAGAAAGTTTTCACAAACATAAACAGCTATATATTCTCGTGCCATGACATATATCACAGCGAAGACGGGCGCGATACTAACACGTAATCTCTCGGAATATTAACGAATATTAAATCATGGACACTTCGCGTGCTCCCTTAGGTGGAGGCCGAAGGAGCTTAGTTTTATGAATTATGACTTATAATTTTACGTTTCCGTAATTTTCACTATGCTATATCTGTGACAGAACTAAATTGATGTCATAGTTTTTTTCTATAGCCCATTTTATACCTACTACACATTCGGCAATGCTACTCTGTAATAAAATCAGTATATAAGTCGGCTGCTAATTAGCCGTCACAGAATAGAGGTGCATTCAAATAAAACCTATTTCAAAAGATAGCGAAGGTTTTATTTCATTTAAGTTCGAGGCTGTATTATGACAAAATGGACTTGCTGGACATATTTTCAAAAGAACTAACGCAAAATAATTAGCTATTCCAAACAGTAGTATTTAACGACGAATATTGAAAAGAAAACAAAAGCAATAAATTGTATAAGTCATTATGTGCAATTTCTTTAATTGCTGCTATAAAAGCAGGTATTATTTATTTTAAGAAATAACTCTTGTTGAGAATTTATGAAACATTGAAAAATTCAGTTTAAATTAATTTTGCAACTTCTTCGATAAAAATTAAGGAACTTATCAACACCATACTGTACAAATAATAAGAACTTATTACCGAAATAAATTCAGGGTTGAATGACAATAATAACAGAGCAAATGTTACACATAAATCAGAGTGTGTGAGAATAATTTAAGGAAACAATATAACCTTGTGTTGAAACAAAGAGACGTCGGAAACAGAATACGTCTGTTAATTCTTCTGCAGATAAAACATTCACTTTATATTGTATGACAATTTAGAGGCGTAACGCCATTATGATTTTGACTAGCTGCGACTTGACAAGTCTGGCCTTCAGATATTAGTAACATAAATATACTAAATAATAGGTTGGGGAAAAAGTTTTTAATACAGTCTATTTAAATTTGACTAAAGTATGTAGGCACCATTTTGTTCGATAACTTTTTGCCATCTTGTAGATAGGGACATGATCCCATTGTTATAGAAATTTTGCGGATTCTGATAAAAGAAAACTTCTTCGAAACTATTTTGTGGTCAATCCCCAGTATTTTAGCTACGTTGTAACTACTGATAAAATAGACTGTTACATGTCATCGCTGGTATGAATGACATTAGTTGTTTTAGATCGTTCATGATACGGGAAACGTTAGTATTTATCTCGGTATCTGAGTGTGTTTTTTGTGAAGAAGATAACAACTACGGAGGTCAAAATTTTCAATTAGATTGTGACGTCACAAAAGTAGATTGTTCATTGATTCCTACCCTGCGATTTTGTAAAAATCCAGACCCGAATTCGAATTTATTCATGTGTCCGAATCCAAGTCATTTAGTATAGAAATTCTATCGATTATATTTTTTTGTATAAAAATATTAAACAAAATTGATTGGATAAAGTGTCTCAGATGTTCTATTATTTTGAAACTCACTTCACTTATGCCACAAAACATTATTACCGATTCAAGGTTGAGCGGATGACGCTTTTTGAAATGAACACCTGAAAGAATTCGAATTCGGGTTTGGATTTTTACAGAATATTGGTAATATAAGTGTTGAGTCGCAAATCGAATCTCAGCTTCATCGGGAGCGTGGTTTTTTTTATTATCTATTTATAGATATATAGAATGTACGTGTAAGGGAAGAATACGGAACTATATAAGATATATATTTTCATTATTTTACATTACCCAACCTTTTGGCGATAATATTAATAGGAGTCAGAACAATATAGTGTACGTAAAGTAAGTATATAATATACTTAACAACATGGAGTAGACAATAACACTAGTTGTTACAAGATCTAAGTACTCTTTATGTGCAACTTTCTGAATAAATACATATAAAAAGCCTTAAAAAATCATGTAATATAAATCGAACAAACCGCCCATCTTTCAATTTGTGTTGATCGATTGACTTCGTAACAACAATCTGTCAAATTTAATAGGAACAAAAACTTTTGCAGAGTTCAGAAGTTGTCAGTGCAGAACAAAAATCAATTAAAAGATCAACATCGTATAGTAAGCTGTAGAGGATATTTTAAAAAAATTACCTATATATAAAACGAAGAAACTTTTACCCCAACCTAAATATTTCTTTTTAAAATTACGAAATATATATATATATTAAACAATTTTTTTGGTTATCCATCCACGACCGGCCTTTGCGAAAGTTGCTTGATTGCCGTAAAACTCTTACATAGAAATTTAGGTTGTATTCTGTCAGCAAAACCTTATTAATCGTTGGATTGATTTCGCCATTTTATGTTCCCGCGTTTTACTAGGTAATGAAAATTTCAATGAATCTGTTGATATTATTTTACTGTGATATATTTTTATTTTGCGCTCAAAGCGTATTATTCGAAACGTAACCAAGTGTGGATTTAATTTTCAGAATAGCTTAAAGTTTAGTTAAAAAGTTGTTTGGCTACTTTTAAGATTACACATATAGATATTGTTGTTTAATGAACACTACCACACTTATATTAAATATATAAACAAATTACAAAAATTGTTTAAAACTTCAGCTTCAAATTGTATTGCAGTAGGAAGCTTCAAAAATGCAAGCGAACCGAGTATAAACTTTGTAGGGTAGTTTCATAATGTGTCCCCGAGGCGTCGCCTACACAGCGATAGTGACATCGACGACATAAGCTAGATGAGTAATGAATACTTTTGCGTACACAAACACTCATATCTATAGTCGAGTAAAAGTAATTATTTAAGTAAATATTTTTATCAATTAAACAAGATTTAACATATCTTAATTCATTCAAATCCTCGTCTATTGTTTAAAAATATCTGCTTACTCGACTATAGATAAGAGTGTAAGGTAAAACTAAAGTGACTCACTGATGTACCCTGCGCATAACGCTACGCGGCAAAGGATTAATCAAAATGATTCATGTATAATCAGGGCGAAAATTATCCAAATTTTAGGCGTTCTAAACAATTGTACAATCAGATCGGACTAAGACTTATTTTCTATATAAACATTATTAATATACCAGAGAAAGAAACAGTGTTGCCAACTTAATAAATAGTACCTAAATTTTCTACTAAAGTTTGGAAAATCCTTTCTTATCGGATGTCTACGCACAGTTCACATATCTAAGTTCAAAATACACGCTCTCTAAGTTTTAGTTCTCTACGATCGTTTAGGCTGTACGTTGATCCATAAGTTAGGGTTTGGAGGTTAGAAAAGATAAAGGATGAATTAATTACTCGAATAATTATAAAAAGGCCTTTTTATAAACTTTTACTCTTTCCCTTTTCCTATTTTAAGCTAGATAATATACATTATTTTACAGCAACCAACTATCTTCGCATAGTTATAGCGTCCTTCATAAAAAAACGTCCCAAACATTTCTAACAAATGACCTATAAAAACATTATAATCTGGAAAAAATGACTTCCAAATTTCACCCATATTACTCTAATATATTATGCCGGCATCAGAAAGGTGCGCGCCGTCCATTTGTCAAAATTAAACGCTCAAGTCTCATCGGGAGTACTAAATGGCGCGTTTTATTTACGACATGGCCGCCGCTGACTTCCGGTTTGTAAACGTTTGATAAACTCGAGCATCATGTCGTGGAACGACTACGTTCCGTTACACTGACAACGATTAAATATTGATATCTTTGTTTGTTAAACGAATAGGTGTGTTGATTTACTGATATAATATATTTATGTTAAATAGGGCTGTATACTTTATGGTTTCAATTCGATTTTTTAATACATTTTTGATCTTTAGTCCATAAAATATTGATCCAAAATATAATCATTGATTTTTGGCGCTAATCCTTATGAAGTGAATGAATAAAGTGACTCCATAGTCACTTTATCGATGTGTTTTAAGAAATTATATGGTATACAGAAAAAGTGTTCGATGAATCTATAAATTTAGCGTGGGGACGCGTAAGAATCACT